TCCACTTTCACACCTATCAAGGTTTCTCAGCTGAGGAAGAGAATGGGCTGTGGCTTATACACCAGCTCAGACATAATTTTTATTTTCACCTTTGTTTGTTCTGTGAACAAGATTGTATATCTGTATGATCAGGGGAATGGTTCTCAACCTTTTTAGATTCCAGTCACCCCACATTAGACTCAAGGCACACTTCAGAAAATGCCAGCTCTTACCTTTCACTTATTCTTTTGACTATGGAAATATAATAGAGCAATTCTTCAGTTGCAAAAAGAACAACAAAGACAACAACAGGTCAGAATGTTTTTGACAGTATGGATTCCTATTTGAAATTTCTGGGTTTATCTTGTCAGTCATGTGTGGGTGTTTATACAGCTAACAGTGCTAATATTGTGTAGCAATCCACAGCACCCTTAGAATGATCTCATGACACCCAAAGATGCCAGACACCCGGGGTGAAAATCACTGCATTAGGGAGATGAACTTTACTGAAGATGATTTATCTGGTTAATAATTTCCCCTTGCTCGCTTTGTTTCCAGTGCTTTGCCTTGTTTAGCACTTTTTCAGTTTTCAGTTCTTAAGTAGTGGAACTCCATGCTATTGTCACTTGTGTTTTAAGTTTCATATTAAAACATATTAGTATTTGCATATATATGCATATAAAATACCAGTGGCCTGAAGTGCCAAATCCTCTAACTATATTTTTCCAGTTGTTAGTACCTAGACATTGAAGGCTCCCAAAATGTTATGCTGACAAATATCCTTTTTTTTTAACTTGTTCCTGTTAACAGCTTCCCATTTTTCAGGCATAGGGTTCTTTAGATAAGCCTGAGGCTATAAGTCACCCACTTTCCACTGAGAGGCAATGGGAGTTGGATGTGACTAACTCCCAATGAAAATCCCATCTGTAGATTGCAAAGCACCAAAGATCATTCTGGATAATGGCATTATATGAATATAAGATTCTAATGCTTATCCTTGGCTGCTTTTCATGTGTGTGTAGATTTTTAATTTATTAAAATATTTTACAAGATAGAATAATAAGAGGTCAGTATATAAAGTAGTTAAAAGCAATACAGTAATCTACTTCCAGAAAGGCAATCAGTTACTAAATTCAAAGGACAATGATGGATTTTCTGAAATATAAATGAATAGATGACCATGAGGCTACCAAACAATTTATAGACATTTACAGGGGATAACAAACTGAATAGAATGGTACACAGTTAGCAATACCTAAATGAAAGGTGAGTGTGTGCATGAATATGATTCTAACATCTCTGTAATAAATATTGTTTGTTTATATGAGCTTATTTCTTCTTCCAGACAATCACCTTCATCCTATATCCAACAGCTTGTAGCTAAAAGAGTTCTGTTTGAGGCTTTGTTTTGGGGATTAAAATTGTTTCAATATAATCTCTGTTTTTGTTTTATAAACTGAGGGAGGCATTAGAGATGAAAATTAATGCCACGGTGGATTCATTAATCATACTGGAACGCTTACTTTGTTATAATAGGCTCTTCCAGCAGAAGGTGCACATAATCAGTTTGGATTTTAAATTCAATCCCCTGTTTAAAAAGAAGAACCTGAAGAAGCATGGCTTCTGTTCTGGATTGTTTTAAAGAGTGCCATACTGTACAAATAAATTTGCATTATAGTGTATATATTGCTTTCTAACAATAACGACCCGTTGATCAAAGAAGAAGGGTCTAGGGAACTGAATGTTTGGGGTCTGATAATGGGATATATAGTATTTTGTCCATAAGTCCCTAAATCAAATGGAACTCATGGTAACAGTGGTCAACTACTATTAGCACCATTTGCTTGCTGCTAGTGGCAAGTATAAAATGAGTTAGTGAGTCTTAATCTACTTTTTAGTGAACAGGTGTTTTTATCAAAAAAACATCACCACAGCTGTTATTAACTGATATTGTCAAGAAGAAGGCCAAGGATTGAGAAGGCATGTTAACTAAATTACCTTCAGAGTGATTCCCCATGTGTAGGGTTAGGGCCCTCTGGCAGATGGCTAGAGGGAAGTTTGCCTATCCACAATTCATGCTTTTTGTGGATAAACAGAAGATTTCCAGGGTTTTCAGTCTGATATATGAGCATTAGAAAGGGGGATAAAGCTCAGTTATAAATCAGGATTAGCTGCCCTGCACCAACTAAATGTGTCTTAGCTATTGATATTTAGCAATAGTTTTATATAGATGGATGATATTCTGTGGAGAGAAGAGTTTAGTGACAAGGTTAAATGAAATAAAGCTGCATAAATCTCATTAAACCAAATGTTTTAGGTCAAAAGTACAGATTTTCTTAAAGATGCCTCCATTTGACCAAAGCTGAAGTATCACCTTTTTCATCAGTACAAATTTAGATAATTTGAAATATTAGTCCATGCACATTGTCCCTTCCCCCATCATTTACATGACAGAAAATTAGAGTTAGGTGTGGACCTTAAAAAAAATTTCAAAGATATTGAGGGAGCTTGATTAGTCAGAGATTCCCAATTCCCTTGTGGTATCTAATTTCAGAGAGGAAACTGTTAATATAGCGGACTACACTTCCCAGCATTCAGTGAATCTGGGTACCAGAGTAATAATTTGAAATCAAAAACCAGCCTCAGTGGCTTTTGGGAGTTGTAGTCAAAGTAAGCTATTGGGCAAGGTAAACTATTGGCCAGAAAAATGTTCAGGGACATTCTCTTAACCTAACATGCCTAACTGGGACATGTAGAGGAGCAAATAAGACTCTAGGGAGTAGCATAATACAACTCTAGAGAGTGTAAGGCTCTCTTGAAGGGTTTTAGATAAGATAGTATCTTCCTCGGCTTCAGGCCTACAAAGCTTAAGTCTCATTTTTTACACCAGATACAGAACAGGATTTGTGGGTGTTAAAAATAATCTGTTTTTGCTTCTGAAATCCTCTTTTAATCATTAAAAAGAAAAGAAACAACTGTGGCTGAACCACCTTTATGGTGAAGTGTACAGTGTGATTTCATATATTGATTTGACCAATAGTGTTATTTTTTTCAGATATGACTACAAAAGCATACAACAGAATTTTCCAAATGTTTAAAAATAAAATATGTACACCAATTCAAAACTAGATTTTAATGTTATATTTTATAGTTGTTATAAAAATGTTTTGATGAAAGGCTATGCCTACAACCAAACATTTATAAAGAGAGTCCCAGCTTTGCTGCTGTAAGATATAAATTGTTTTGTTAATGACTTGCATCAAAAGATCTCCAGCAGTTATTCTCTCAATATGTTTAAAAAGTAGATGTTGGGATATTATCCATTTTATAGATGAATACATTGCTAGATAGAGAATAGGGTATGTTTTTTCAAAAGTGGCATCTAAATTTTCATGACTAATTTGATTGCCTAACTTTAGACACCTAAAGTATAATTTCCAAAAGACTGAGCATATACAGTTCCAGTTGAGCCATAGCTGTCTAAAGTTGGGAAACACAAGCAAGAAGCCAGATGTGAAAATTTGGGCCCAACTAGTTGGCTCCAGAATCACAAACAAACAGGAATCCTGTGCTCTCCCAATTCTGTGATGTGATCTGTAAATGAGATTATTCACTTTATTAAGCATGGATCTCAAAGCACAGCCAAAGATCCTGATTTTCAGGAACCAATTTTAGACAGAATTAAGATTCAACATCAGGGATGTTATTGGACCCTGAAAGATTTTAATTGGTCATGATTTATAATAATAGAGGTAGCATTGTCTAGAGGACTGAGCAACCCGAGAAGCTAAAAATTCCTGAGAGGGAAATTTGCCTTTGCTGTAGACTTGTGTAGTCTTGGCCAAGCAAATCAAACTCTTCCTGCCTGTTTTATCATCTGTACAATGGTGTTAATACTTATATTTCTATTGGAGGTTGCAAAGTTTAATTCATTAATACAGTGCCTTGAATTCTTCAGATGGAAGGTGTTATATAGAGGGGGGGGCATTGGTGTCACTTAATATGTTAAAGAGCTTTTAAGATGTTAAACCTTCTAAACCTGCTAAGCATTTTTATAGATAAATATCTGTAGAGCATTTTAAAGATAAAGCCATAGTAATTTCCAGGGTACCCCAGCACCCCAGTATCCAGGTGGCAAATGATGTAAAATTAAAGCTTTTATTGAATTGCACTGAACATTGCTCAGTTCAGAGAGTTTGCTTACTAATTGTTTCGTGTTTACTACTGATTTGGTTCCGGTTATAGTTCATTTTCACCCTTCTCATAAGCACGACGGAGTGGAAGGGCTTCCACTGAGAAAACTCCCCACCAGGGCAGCACGGGCTGCAGCTCTTGGCTCTCTCCTAGCTCTGCCCCCTTGGTCGTTACTTAAGTGGTCCTAGAGCCTGACCATCTAACGCTGTACCCGCACGTTACAGGGGCGGCGAGGACCTCTCTCCTGTGATCATCATCACACCCAGGGCCTGTCCCAGCTGGGAGCGGCCCGCGCATTAGCACCACACGGGGTGTTTGCTGGGGGCGGGGGTGCTCCGGGCAAGAGGAAGCGAGGCTCCGGGCAGGGGGGGGTTAACGGGGCAGCACCTGGATGCCCGGCTATGGAGCTACCGGGCTCAGCGAATCAGAGCCCCCTGGAGAACAGGTGTTTGCTGTCGTCAGGACGCTGGGAGGGAAGGAGGGGGGTGGCCGCCGCCGCCGCCGCCGCCGGGTTCGCGAG